TTTGTGAAGCTTGATTGGCACAACTAACACATCACCTTTTGAAAGAAAACACAGTGCATTAGGTTAGGCAGTTCACCAACGTCAGCGACGTTGGCTTCTCATCCTCCTTGCTGCGAAGCCGAGCCAACGTAGTTGACTCGCCCCTCTCTCTGGGTTTGGCTTACCTGCAATTTCTGTAGGTCGTGCAATTTCAGAAAACATTCATGCAGCTGCAGATGATCAGGTCCCTTGAAAATCAGCCTGCCTATGCTTACATAGCTGATACTCTAAGGGAGTTGGCTCACAACAGAAAAACAAATTAATTTTATTTTAAGAAGCCATTTAATTAAGTGCCAAAAATTTGCTTTTAGTACAGTGGGGCCTCTGCACTATCTCAGCCGTAGAAAGTCTCTTACTTTCTTTTTTAAGATACCATTAGCATTAAACAGCATTAGAAAATTACAGGTAGAAGTAGTGCAATTGTTTCCCATATGCTTTTACAACGTGCATAAATTTAGATGTGGGGAACCCATCTAAAAATACAAATGCTTGTTTCTGCCACTCACTTTAGCCTTTCTATTGGAAATAGCAAGATGAAGGACTCCGATACATTTGTCGATGATATTTTACTTTTCCTAAAATCAGACTATATGCACCCAAGTAACATGTACTTTATGAAGGCAGATGCAAAAAAAGAGAATTAAATTTGAAGATCACATTTTACATAAACATGGGTATTGCCAAGTTTTTCAGTATCAGCCCAGATACGAGCTTCCTTTCCGGCACAAAGGTTGAGATGTTATACTAAAAGACTAGTTTTCCCTGTTTCAGGTACTGATTCAGGAAGGTGTTTGCATTTCAAGCCTTGAGCTCTTCAGCAGTTACACCAAAGCAGGTGGAGCTGTAGAACATTCCTTGTGCTAAGGTTCGTCCAACCCAGTCGCAAAAAAAGGAGTGTCTAGTATTAACGCGTGGCTATCAAGCGAAATTCATCTCACCCAATTTTGGACCTTCACAAGGTATTGCTAGTCCCTGCTGGACATTTAGAGCTCCGTTGAAAAAAAGAAAAGCAGTTCTTAGACCTGCCTTGCTTCCAGGCTCTCTAGAGGTGCCCGTTTACCCTCCATCAGCTGTTAAGGGGACCAGGATGACTGGAACAGATGCGGACGCTTGAAAGTAAGTGGCGTTTATCTCATCTGTCAGCCTGAATGCGCGAGAGAACCATTCTTTTGTCAGGACTTTGCATTTCTCATTCCTGGTCTCTTGTGAAAACGCTAAGATAGCAGGAGCAGTAAGAGCTGAGAAGAGACACTTCCATTCGACTAAATGCTTACGATGTTCAGTTTTAGCAGAGAACCCTAACTGAACGCAAGGTTTGGGGTTTTTTTCCCCACTCCTATCTAAAGCACATCTACCATTAACATTTCCAATACGCGGTCATAACACCTGATGTTCTCTATCAAATTCTAGCAGCATTTCCCTTTTCATGATTCATTAACAGTCTGAAGATTTTAAGAGGGGAAAAAATAAGGCAAGTTTGTGTGTTAGATGCTCTTGCCTTGCTACACGTCAAAAACCATAGGCATGATCTGGTGACAGCACTCTGTTCTGATAACTTCAGTCTTTTGGTGACTGTAGGAGTTGTGACTTTATCAGATTCCTCATTTTAAAGCAGTGAGAGAATATATTGGTTTTAACGGCTTTAAGATCACACATGCATGCTTGAGCTGGAAGTGACACGAATGTAAGCTTGCTATCTAGAGTAGAATACTCAGTGAAAGATCTCCTGTCTGTCGCCCGCACCATTATTGCATTTGTCACATCCTGAACAGCTACGGCACTTGTGGCGTTTGTCAGAGCCGCCTCCCGTCTTCGTAAGGCAGTTTGGATGAGGCAAGTTGTGCGCCAACATTACCATAAGCAGATAAAATGCCCAAATCCTTATTGTCCACTTCAGGAGAAACGCATACGGACGTGACCTCCTTCTTCTCCGGGCCCCTGACACTGCTGCTAGGAGACATCCCAACGGGCGCTGGGCTTGGGAAAGCCGCGGAACCCCAGGTGACCGGCAGTTGAGAAGCGAGTCTGCCTCTAGAGGTAAAAGTTAAGTCTTGTCTTTATGCCATACCCCAGAGTTTAAAGCTTTCAGCGCTCTTAAAGAATTTCTAGGCACCGCTCGGTATTGAACAAAACTGATTTCTGCCCTTTTGAAGTTCAAAGTAACAGCAAACAGACCATCATCCAGCAAGCGACCGACGAGCTGGCAGGAGCTCCGGTGGAATAAGCTACTTCTGGTCTGCCAGGCTCTACAGCAGATCCCTCTTGTGGCAGCTCAACTTATCTTTCTGACTGCTCTTTGCAACACTAGCATGACTAGAGGAAGATCCTTTTTAAAAATTTGCCTGCCGTTCAACGAGGTCCCAAACGAGATTGTTTATTAAAGCAGTGTACACCAAGCTCCAGGATCTGTTTCAAAGGGACTGTAAGAGCTGTTAGAAATACTTACCTCCCAAGCGCTGCACTGAATAAATGAGTACAGCTTTCTTTTGAAGTCCAGAACAATAGTTTATTTTGCTACGGCATAATATTCAGCAATATATTCCTGAACAAGAACGACAGTAACAAAGGAAGTCGCACAACCAAGCGGTTTCCTCCTCAATTATACAGACTACACCCCCCTGGAGTCCTCTCACCTGTGTCCTCACCATACCAGTCGCCGTGAATGTCCATCATGGAACTCATGGCTACCCCTCCATCCTCTGGCCTACCCTCAAAGCCCCGGACAAAGTGATGAACCACATCATCCTTTCTCTGAGCTGAGCTGTTGCGCAACAGGGCCTCTAGGAACTGTTTCATGTGATAGTTATTGCAGGCCAGGTCCATCGCCTGCCCGCCGTGCAGCCCCTCTTCCATCTGCTCGAGGGACAACGGAGTCGGATACTGCGGCAGCCGTTCACCCACTTCGACCTCTACTTCATCCGAGTCAAACTCTACTTTGGGTTCCACCCCCTTGGGCAGCGAAGAATTGACGTCGTCTGGAGAGTCGCTGCTTACGGGGTCTCTGACCACAAGCTCCAGGGGATGGCAGCTGCTGCATTCTCCACAGGGAGGGTCTCTCTGGCAATCCGAAATCCTTTCCTTTTCCTGCAGGGAAGAGACAGAGGCAGAGCACTGGCTCTTTGAGCTGTACGAGGTGCCCTCTCTCGCAGAACTAGCGCTCCCGCTATCAGCCTGATAGAAAGCAGCTTCTCTCTCTATTTTCCTGCAAATATCTAACGATGACCTTATATACGCCTTGCAGAAGTTGACCACATCGGTCATCTGCAAATAGCTAGCCGCAGACATCACCTCAATAACGTTTTCCCCACGGAGATCTAGCTTCCCGGAATAAAGGAAATCCAGGATGATGGAGAAGGCCTCCGAGGTGACGATGTCCAGAGAGGCGGTGCTGTGGCGTCCGCTGTCTTGGATGTAGTGAATCAGCAGGGCTCGGAAATAGCCGCTGTTGGCGAATAAAATGTTTTTGTGGGCTTTGAAGATCCTCCCCTCCACGATAATGCTGCAGTCGCAGAAGAAGTCCCTCTTGCGCTGCTCGTTGAGCTCTCCCAAAAGCTTGGTGTAGTACGACTGCATCTCCATCGCTCCCGCCGCCGCTCGCTGCCACAGTCAACGAGAAAGGGCACCGTCAGCAGGAGGCCTCCCGGGGACCCGCCGCCGCCGCCTCCCGCCAGCCTCTCCCCGGAGCCCG